CAGGGGGGAACAGTATATGGGGATCAGGGGGGAACAGTATAACAGTATATGGGGATCAGGGGGGAACAGTATATGGGGATCAGGGGGGAACAATATATGGGGATCAGGGGGGAACAGTATATGGGGATCAGTTGGGAACTGTATATGGGGATCGTTGGGGGGGAACAGTATATGGGGATCAGGAGGGAACAGTATATGGGGATCAGGGGGGGGGGAACAGTATATGGGGATCAGGGGGGAACAGTATATGGGGATCAGGGGGGGAACATATATAACAGTATATGGGTATCAGGGGGGGACAATATATGGGGATCAGGAGGGAACAGTATATTGGGGGATCAGGGGAACAGCAGTATATGGGGATCGGGGGGGGGACAGTATATGGGGATCAGGTGGGAACAGTATAACAGTATATGGGGATCAGGAGGGAACAGTATATTGGGAACAGGGGAGAGCAGTATATGGGGATCGGGGGGAACAGTATAATCACAGTATATGGGTATCGGGGGGGAGCAGTAATATGGGTATCAGGGGGGAACAGTATATGGGGATCAACAGTATATGGGGATCAGGAGGGGAACAGTATATGGGGATCAGGGGGGGAACAGTATAACAGTATATGGGGATCAGGGGGGAACAGTATATGGGGATCAGTTGGGAACTGTATATGGGGATCAGGAGGGAAAACAGTATATGGGGATCAGGGGGGAACAGTATATGGGGATCAGGGGGGAACAGTATATGGGGATCAGGGGGGGGGGAACAGTATAACAGTATATGGGGATCAGGGGGGAGCAGTATATGGGTATCAGGGGGGAACAATATATGGGGATCAAGAGGGAACAGTATATTGGGAACAGGGGAGGAGAACAGTATATGGGGATCGGGGGGAACAGTATATGGGGATCAGGGGGGAACAGTATATGGGGATCAGGAGGGAACAGTATATGGGGATCAGGGGGGAACAGTATATGGGGATCAGGAGGGAACAGTATATGGGGATCAGGGGGGGATCAGGAAACAGTATATGGGGATCAGGAGGGAACAGTATATGGGGATCAGGGGGGGGAACAGTATATGGGGGATCAGGAGGGGAACAGTATATGGGGATCAGGAGGGAACAGTATATGGGGATCAGGGGGGGGGGGGAACAGTATATGGGGATCAGGAGGGAACAGTATATGGGGATCAGGGGGGTTGGGGCAGCGTAGGGAAATAATACCTGAGCTTGCAGTAGGGCTTATTTAAAATGAGACTTGACCCTGACCAGAGAGGTGAGGAGGATTCTGGGAATATCATTTGATTTTACTATTTGTGTTCAGATGTAGAGTTTTCCTCCTGTGAAGTCTGGAGATCATATGACATCACATTGCCTCCACCTCCCTCCCTGATAGAAGAGAGAAAAGAAGAAGAAGATTCTAGAAGTCACCAGAGAGATCACTGAGCTGCTGACAGGAGAGGTGATCACATGATGGCACCAATGAGGATGGAGGAGGACCGGAGTCACATGACTGAGAAGATACTAAACCTCACCCTGGAGATCATCTACCTGCTGACCGGAGAGGTGAGGAGGATTCTGGGAGGTCACATGACATCACTCTTATCTCTATTAATAAAACACAGACCTGACCGAGAGGTGAGGAGGATTCTGGGAGGTCACATGACATCACTCATCTCTATTAATAAAACACAGACCTGACCGGAGAGGTGAGGAGGATTCTGGGAGGTCACATGACATCACTGTCATCTCTATTAATAAAAACAGACCTGACCAGAGAGGTGAGGAGGATTCTGGGAAGTCACATGACACTCTCATCTCTATTAATAAAACACAGACCTGACCGGAGAGGTGAGGAGGATTCTGGGAGGTCACATGACATCACACAGACCTGACCGGAGAGGTGAGGAGGATTCTGGGTTTCTAACATGATATTCCTATTGGTTCCTCAATACAGAGATTTCCTCTTCTGAAGTCAGGTGATCATATGACCATCACAGTGCCTCCATGTGACTCCCTAAACCCTGAGAGACACAACATGCAGAAGATTCTAGAAGTCACCAAGAAGATGATGGAGCTGCTGACAGGAGAGGTGAGCGGTGCCGGGAATTCTGGGACATTCTCCAGTAACAGACAAGGGATGTGTCTGGATGGTGACTGTATCATTGTGTGTGTCAGGTTCCTATAAGGTGTCAGGGTGTCACTGTCTATTTCTCCATGGAGGAGTGGGAGTATTTAGAAGGACACAAGGATCTCTACAAGGACGTCATGATGGACAATCAGCCGCCCCTCACATCACCGGGTAAGAGGAGACTTTATTGTAAAGGAGAGAGCAGTACGGAGGATCCACCTAGATCCCCCATCATCTGATAAACACATAGAAACAATGGATTCAGTCAGTGTGTGTGTTTCCTACAGATGGATCCAGTCATGGGAACCCACCAGAGAGATGTCCCCGTCCTCTGTATTCCCGGGATTCCACACAGGAAGGTCACACCATCCCTCACCATCATCAGGTAGATGGATCCAGTCATGGGAACCCACCAGAGAGATGTCCCCGTCCTCTTCCACACATGATATTGATTGAGGATGGGGTGATGAAGGAGTCCCAAAACAACACAAAGATCTGTACCAGGACACCATGGTGGAGTCATCCAGCTACAGGAACCCACCAGAGAGATGTCCCCCGTCCTCTGTGTTCCCAGGATTCCACACAGGAAGGTCACACCATCCCTCACCATCATCAGGTAGATGATGACAATTATTGGTAGTTGTGATTTATACACAGCATGTTTGTTACAATGAATGTTTTATTATATCTTTCAGAGTGGAATCCTCGGGGATGATAATATTGATTTTAAAGAAGAGTATAAAGAGGAGGATGAGGAGTATGGAGTGATGGAGGAGTTTTCAGAAGGACACAAGGATATGATGGAGCCACCTAATACCAGGAACCCACCAGAGAGATGTCCCCGTCCTCTGTATTCCCGGGATTCCACACAGGAAGGTCACACCATCCCTCACCATTACAAGGTTGGTGGGATGCAGAATCTAGAACATGGACTTGTGGAGACAATGTGTGGATTTTTTTTATGTGATGTCACAATATTAAATCTTACAATTTTACAGATGATATTTTCTCTCATTTCCTTGATTTAGAGTGAAGATCCAATCGATATAAAAGTTGAGGTGAAAGCAGAAGAAGAAGAGGCGTATGTGAGGGATGATCAGCAGTCTATGGAGGAGGATGGAATAACGGGGACATTTATAGAGGAGGACACTCCTACAGAGATCAGCACAGGTGGGTCATGAACACTAAATCCATTCCTCCACCCATACTGCTCACTGATTGGTCCAGAGTAGGGCGGGGGGACTGGGTGATATCAGCCTGTAATCCCCTGGTCACTTTCCTGAGCTGTGTTCCCCGTCCTGTATTCCTGGATTTCTCTCGGATAATCTTCCTTCTCTGTGCTGCAGACACAATTTATGTATCTAGACTGGATTTATGGAGGTTCTGGGGTTCAGCTGGCAAGCAAAATATAATTTTTTTGTATAGGCAATTGCTTGACCTGGGGGTGTGTGTCCTAGGTCTTCTGCTCCATGTCCAGGTCTAGTAAGATCTCTGACAAAGCAATTTTAGGATATGGCAGGCAGTGGTGTGGGTGCCGGGTGGAGCTATGTCTCAAAAAACATTTAAGTTTTCACTGATTACTGAATATAAGCATCCCCTGCACTATACACTCCTATGTTGTACATTCCATAATTCTAATAGTATATAGTCCTAACTGTTGTATCATTGATACATATACTATAATTTCAAGCACTCTACCCCAATCCACTGCTATATATAATGTATTTTCTTTTTTTCAAACCCATTTTCTACCATTTGGACTTTTTATATCTGTTGATTTTGATTGGGGGGCACAGACCTCACTCTCTGACCTCTGGTGGGGCTCAGCCCCGCTGTTCTTCATGACTAAATCATGGACTAAATAAGGAAGTGCAGTACTTCTTGTGTTGGGAAGATGGCGATGAGTGATAGAGGGGGGTGGGGACCCTCGTCCTATAATCCCCTCATCACTGTCCCTCCTATAAAAGACAGTTCTGGTTGTTTCCTCACTCTCTGACTAAGGTCCATGAATAAAGAAATGACCTGGTAGGAGATCAGAGGAGCCATTTCCTAGTTCCCTTGAGGATGGAATTGTAAGCTCCTCAGAGACCAAGCTGCCTGATGTGGGCGGAGTCCTGGTTTGGGGGAACCAATCAGCTCCTGTCTAGTAATCCTCTTTGTCTTTGTATTTTAGTCCATGGCCGGGAGATGAGGAAAACCTCCGAGGATTGTCTCACTTTGTCTCCAGACTGGAAAGTAGAAGATGAGGACATCACACAGTATAGTCCAGGAGAAAACCCGGCTCCCTCCAATGTCCATCCGGCACCACCCAGTGTAGATGGACCATCGGATTCCTCGTATCCTGAGGAACCTCAGACTGTGCGGGACCGGGCCGGCCTTCCAACAGGGAAGAGCTTCTCCTGTACTGAGTGCGGGAAGAGTTTCCGTTTTAAATCCAGATTTATAATGCATAAAAAATCTCATACTGGTGAGAAGGAGTATTCATGTTCTGAGTGCGGGAAATGTTTTTTTGTTGAAATCCAGTCTTTACAGACATAAGAGATTGCATACGTGTGAAAAAATGCATTCCTGTTCTGAGTGCGGGAAATGTTTTTCACAGAAGTCCAGTCTGTATACACATCAGAGATTGCATACAGGTGAGAAGCCACATTTCCTGTCCTGAGTGTGGGAAATGTTTTTCACAGACAGAAGTCATCTGGTCTTTATAGACATCAGAGGTCACACTCTGGGGAGAAGCCATATTTCTGTCCCGAGTGTGGGAAATGTTTCTCAGCTAAGTCCAAGCTTCATGAGCATCAGCGATTGCACACGGGGAGAAGCCTTATTCTTGTTCTGAGTGTGAAAAATGTTTTGTACAAAAATCATTACTTGTCAGACATCAAACATCTCACACGGGGGAAAAACCTTATTCCTGTTCCTGAGTGTGAGAAATGCTTTGTTTATAAATCAGAGTTTGTCGTACATCAGAGGTCTCACACGGGGGAGAAGCCATTTTCGTGTTGTGAGTGCGGGAAATGTTTTTCACACATATCCAATCTTTATGAACATCAGCGATTGCACACAGGTGTGAGAAGCCATATTCCTGTCCTGAGTGCGGGAAATGTTTTGTACAAAAATCAGAGCTTGTCATACATAAAAGGTCTCATACAGGAGAAAAGCCGTATTCCTGTTCTGAGTGCGGGAAATGCTTTTCACAGAAGTCCAATCTTTGCAAACACCAGAGATTGCACACAGGAGATAAGCCGTTTTCATGTCCTGAGTGCAGGAAATGTTTTGTACAAAAATCACAACTTGTTAAACATCAAAAGTCTCACACGGGGGAAAAGCCGTATTCCTGTACTGAGTGTGGGAAAACATTTTTATTGAAATCCAGTCTTTGCAGACATCATAGATTACACACAGGTGAGAAGCCGTATTCCTGTTCTGAGTGCGGGAAATGTTTTTCACAGAAGTCCAGTCTTTATACACATCAAAGATTGCATGTGGGGGAAAAGCCTTATTTCTGCTCTGAGTGTGGGAAATGTTTTTCAGAAAAAGTCAAATCTCTATAGACACCAAAGGTCTCACACCGGGGAGAAGCCATTTTCCTGTACTGAGTGCGGGAAAATGTTTCTCAGACAAGTCCAAGCTTTATGACCATCAGATATTGCACACGGGTGAGAAGCCGTATTCCTGTTCTGAGTGTGGAAAATGTTTTGTAAAAAAATCACAACTTGTCAGACATCAAACATCTCACACAGACGAGAAGCCATATTCCTGTTCTGAGTGTGGGAAATGTTTTTCACGAAAGTCCTGTCTTTACAGACATCAGAGATTGCATGCAAGTGAGAAGCCGTATTCCTGTTCCGAGTGCGGGAAATGCTTTGTACAAATATCATACCTTGTCTCACATCAGAGGTCCATAAAGGAGAGAAGCCGTATTCCTGTACTGAGTGCGGGAAATGTTTTTCAGTGAAGTCCAATCTTTACAGACATCAGAGATCTCACACAGGGGCGAAGCCACTTTCCTGACCTAAGTGCGGGAAATGTTTTTTCAGACAAATCCAATCTTTACAGAGATCTCACACGGGGGAGAAGCCACTTTCCTGTCCTGAGTGAGGGAAATGTTCCTCACTGAAGTCCTGTCTTCCTGTACATCAGGGGTCCCACACAACCCTGGAGGTGTATTAGTGTCGGAAATGTTTTCAAGATGAATGTTGCTGGACATCCCATCCCAGCTCTCATGTGGGGAAGAAGCACAACCTGATATACACCTCAGATATACTCCATGGCTGATCATCATCATGGAAGAAACAGTTCATAAGGAGATCAGAGGTCACCAAAGACATGAAGTGTGGGACCGGGTTGGTCATTGATAGCAGGAGAAGAATAAAAATGGAGTCATCACCTTTCATTGGTACATTTTGTTTGTCAAATGTGACCAGCATTTGCCCAACCATGGCAAATGATTTCTTACAATCGTAAGTTCCAGCTGGGCAAATGCTTGACGCAACTAATTTTTTTAGGTAGACCCTTTAAATTTCTTTGTCAGGTTTCAGAGGAAGAGCTGAGATCTTGATCATGCATGTATGAGTACAGTAGACATTGAAGAACAATAACACAAGTTAATTATACCAATAGTATTGAAAACAACCATTGACTTAAATCTGAAAAAGACCTTATTTGGCCAGTAGATTGCACTGTAATAGGAAATTTCACCCCTGATGACGAAACGTGTTGGGTGGAGCTAGAACGTGACTTCCATCCTGTTGGTTTGAAACTATCTTTGATGATTATGGAGACATGCTGATTTTCTGAGTTGATGATGTATGTGCATGACTATTTATCCATTAAATGACCACTATTGACTACACTATGAGGAATATTTTTTTTTGTTTTGGAATATCCCGTATGAGGTCACAAGGAATTTAGGTGCTGTTCGGTAGAAGTATCATTTTTAAGGACGGAAAGTCAAGACATATAATTAATCCAATGATTGTTTGCATAACACATGTGAAACATACAGCGCTTACTGACCTTTTTTCGGGGGTCAAAAGTAAGGGGCAGTGTGTTTGGTGTTGGTGGAGGGACCCTTTCTTATTTCCCCTTTGACGTTTCCTTTGGACACACATTGGATTTATGTTGTCATTTCAACACTGGACTTTTTTTATTGTATGTGCTGAACGTTTTGTATTTTGGTTATTCTTTATACGCTTATTGCTGCATTTTTTTTTCAATTTTTAATAGGAAATTACAGGTCTTCAGTTTAGAATGAACCTCCTCAAGTCCAGACACATTCAAGCCCTTCCAAGTCCAGGCCAATTTTCAGCATTCAGCCATGAATGACAATTACTCAGCCATGCAACGCTGTACCCAAATGAAATTCTTATTGTTTTTGTTTTTTTTAGACAGCTTATTTTTGGTGGTATTTAATCACAACTTGTTTTTTTTTCTAGTTATTTGACAAATAAATAATCTTCTACTGTAAATGTAGGGCAAAACTATTCTGCTACTTTTTTGGTAAAACCTAACCAAAAAATTTTTGTCCAGCCAGTGTATATCGATCCGTATGTGTGAAAGTTATACAGCCTATGATTGATATATATATATATATATATATGTGTGTGTGTGTGTGTGTGTGTGTGTGTGTATATATGTATTATATATATATATATATATATATATTTGAAAATCAATCAATCCTGATCAGTACTGATGGCCTAGAGGCCCCAAAAATGTCAGGACAGTACAAATACCCCCCCCCCCCTTATTTTGTGGAGATGACCTCTTTTTGTAAAGTAGACAGTTTGAGGTATTTAATAAGAGGAAAAGTGAGTTTTTTGAAGTTGTAATGTGTTGTCACAGTTTTTTTGGAAAATGTAGAAATTAAATGTGTTTTTTTTTTTCACAAAGTTGTCATTTTAACAAGTTATTTCTCACACACAGCATGGGCATACTCACAATTACACCCCAAAACAAATCTTGCTATGCATCCTTAGCACGGGATAAACACATGTGTGAGACTATTTCACAGTCTAGATGCATAGAGGGGCTGAAAATCCAAGGATCACCTTCAGGCCTTCCAGGAGCATAAATTGTGAATCTAATTTCAAATTATGGAGGCCCTGGAGCACCAGGACAGTGGAAGCAATTGGAGAAACTGATAATGGTACGGTGATGACAACACTGTACATGGCTGTGAAAAGGACTTTGGTATGGGGTATAGCAGTGATCAGAATGCTGGTATGAGGTATGTTTGTGATCAGAATGCTGGTATGGGGTATGTTTGTGATCAGGATGCTGGTATTGGGTGTGACAGTGATCAGGATGCTGGTATGGAGGAGATCAGGATGCTAGTAATGGGGTATGTTGGTGATCAGGGCAATGGTGTGGGTTATGATGATGATCAGGAAGCTGGTATGGTGGTGATCGGGATGCTGGTATTGGGGTCTGGCAGTGATCAGGAAGCAGGTAATGGGGTATGGTGGTGATCAAGATGCTGATATGGGGTATGTTGGTGATCAGGACACTGGTATGGGTTATGATGGCGATCAGGACACTGTTATGGATTATGGCGGTGATCAGGATGCTGGTATGGTGGTGATCAGGACACTGGTATGGTGTATGGAGGTGATCAGGACACTGGTATGTTGTATGGAGGTGATTAGGACACTGTTATGGATTATGGTGGTGATCAGGACACTGGTATGGGTATGATGGTGATCAGGACACTGATATGGGGTATGGAAGAGATCAGGATGCTGGTATGGGGCATGTTGGTGATCAAGGACAATGGTGTGGGTTATGATGGTGATTAGGAAGTTGGAATGGTGGTGATCGGGATGCTGGCATTGGGTGTGGCAGTGATCAGGATGCTGATATGGGGTATGGCGGTGATCAGGACAATGAAATGGGTTATGATGGTGATCAGGACAATGAAATGGGTTATGATGGTGATCAGGACACTGGTATGGTGTATGGAGATGATCAGGACACTGGTATGTTGTATGGAGGTGATCAGGACACTGGTATGGTGTATGGAGGTGATCAGGACACTGGTATGGGGTATGGAGTGATCAGGACACTGGTATGTGTGTATGGAGGTGATCAGGACACTGGTATGGGGTATGGCGGTGATCAGGACACTGTTATGAATTATGGTGGTGATCAGGACACTGGTATGGGTTATGATGGTGATCAGGACACTGTATGGGTATGGAAGAGATCAGGATGCTGGTATGGTGTATTGAGGTGATCAGGACACTGGTATGGGGTATGGAAGAGATCAGGACACTGGTATGGGTTATGATGGTGATCAGGACACTGGTATGGAGGTATGGAAGAGATCAGGATGCTGGTATGGTGTATGGTGGTGCATCAGGTGTGCTGGTATGGTGTATGGTGGTGATCAGGACGCTGGTATGGTGTATGGATGGTGATCAGGACACTGGTATGGGTGTATGATGGTGATCAGGACACTGGTATGGTGGTGATCAGGACACTGGTATTGGTGTATGGAGGTGATCAGGACACTGGGTATGGTGTATGGAGGTGATCAGGACACTGTATGGGTTATTGATGGTGATCAGGACACTGGTATGGGGTATGGAAGAGATCAGGATTAATGCTGGTATGGGGTTATGTTGGTGATCAGGACAATGGTGTGGGTTATGATGGTGATTTAGGAAGTTGGAATGGTGGTGATCAGGATGCTGGCATTGGGTGTGGCAGTGATCAGGATGCTGATATGGGGGTATGGCGGTGATCAAGATGCTGATATGGGGTTGTTATGGCGGTGATCAGGACACTGAATATGGGTATATGATGGTGATCAGGACAATGAAATGGGTTATGATGTGATCAGGACACTGGTATTGGATGTGGCAGTGATCAGGATGCTGGTATGGCGGTGATCAAGATACTGATATGGGGTATGTTGGTGATCAGGACACTGGTATGGGTTATGATGGTGATCAGGACACTGGTTATGGGGTATGGAGGTGATCAGGACACTGGTATGGGTATGGTGGTGATCAGGACACTGGTATGGGTTATGATGGTGATCAGGACACTGGTATGGGTTATGATGGTGATCAGGACACTGATATGGGTTATGGTGGTGATCAGGACACTGGTATGGGTTATGATGGTGGTGATCAGGACACTGATATGGGGTATGGGGGTGATCAGGACAATGGTATGGGTTATGATGGTGATCAGGACACTGATATGGGGTATGGGGGTGATCAGGACACTGGTATGGGTTATGGATGGTGATCAGGACACTGGTATGGGTTATGATGGTGATCAGGACACTGATATGGATTATGGTGGTGATCAGGACACTGATATGGATTATGGTGGTGATCAGGACACTGATATGGATTATGGTGGTGATCAGGACACTGATATGGATTATGGTGGTGATCAGGATGCTGGTATGGGTTATGGTGGTGATCAGGACACTGGTATGGGTTATGATGGTGATCAGGACACTGATATGGGGTATGGGGGTGATCAGGACACTGGTATGGATTATGGTGGTGATCAGGACACTGGTATGGGTTATGGTGGTGATCAGGACACTGATATGGGGTATGGTAATGGGGTGATCAGGACACTGGTATGGATTATGGTGGTGATCAGGACACTGGTATGGGTTATGGTGGTGATCAGGACACTGGTATGGGGTATGGGGGTGATCAGGACACTGGTATGGGGTATGGGGTGGGTGATCAGGACACTGGTATGGGTTATGATGGTGATCAGGACACTGATATGGGGTATGGGGGTGATCAGGACACTGGTATGGATTATGGCGGTGATCAGGACGCTGGTATGGGGTGTGGAGGAGATCAGGACGCTGGTATGGGGTGTGGAGATCTGGACGCTGGTATGGTGTATGTTGTAGTCACACACAATGTATGTTTCCATTCATATGTGTGGGTACATTGTGGCTCAAATATTGAGTGGGAGGTTACATGCTTTGGAGTACTCAAACAGCACAGGGCCCAAACAGCATATTCATACACCGTGGGCATATGCACATACCCTCAGGTGATTGGACACTTAAGGACCCTTACAACCCAACCGCACTCTGTGAGTCCTCAG